CTCTAGAGCAGTGGTTCTCAACCTTTCTAATGCCGCGACCCCTTAATACAGTTCCTCATGTTGTGGTGACCCCCAACCATAAAATTATTTTTATTGCTACTTCATAACTGTAATTTTGCAGTGGGAGGAGTAGTGCCATGTCATTGGTGTCAGTGGAAGGAGTAGTGCCCCATCACTGATGTCAGTGGGATGAATAGTGCCCCATTGTTGGTATCAGTGGGAGGAATAGTGCCCCATCACTGGTGTCAGTGGGAGGAATAGTGCCCCATCACTGATGTCAGTGGGATGCATAGTGCCCCATCGTTGGTATCAGTGGGAGGAATAGTGCCCATCACTGATGTCAGTGGGATGAATAGTGCCCCATCACTGGTGTCAGTGGGAGGAATAGTGCCCCATCACTGTTGTCAGTGGGAGGAATAGTGCCCCATCACTGGTGTCAGTGGGAGGAATAGTGCCCCATCGTTGGTGTCAGTGGGAGGAATAGTGCCCCATCGTTGGTGTCAGTGGGAGGAATAGTGCCCCATCGTTGGTGTCAGTGGGAGGAATAGTGCCCCATCGTTGGTGTCAGTGGGAGGAATAGTGCCCCATCGTTGGTGTCAGTGGGAGGAATAGTGCCCCATCGTTGGTGTCAGTGGGAGGAATAATGCCCCATCGTTGGTGTCAGTGGGAGGAATATTGCCCCATCGTTGGTGTCAGTGGGAGGAATAGTGCCCCATCGTTGGTGTCAGTGGGAGGAATAGTGCCCCATCGTTGGTATCAGTGGGAGGAATAGTGCCCCATCGTTGGTGTCAGTGGGAGGAATAGTGCCCCATCGTTGGTGTCAGTGGGAGGAATAGTGCCCCATCGTTGGTGTCAGTGGGAGGAATAGTGCCCCATCGTTGGAGTCAGTGGGAGGAATAGTGCCCCATCATTGGTGTCAGTGGGAGGAATAGTGCCCCATCATTGGTGTCAGTGGGAGGAGTAGTGCCCCATCATTGGTGTCAGTGGGGGGAGTAGTGCTCCATCATGGTGTCAGTGGGGGGGAGTAGTGCCCCATCACTGGTGTCAGTGGGAGGAGTAGTGCCCATCACTGGTGTCAGTGGGAGGAATAGTGCCCACATCATTGGTGTCAGTGGGAGGAGTAGTGCCCCATCATTGGTGTCAGTGGGAGGAGTAGTGCCCCATCATTGGTGTCAGTGGGAGGAGTAGTGCCCCATCATTGGTGTCAGTGGGAGGAGTAGTGCCCCATCATTGGTGTCAGTGGGGGGAGTAGTGCCCCATCATTGGTGTCAGTGGGGGGAAGTAGTGCCCCATCACTGGTGTCAGTGGGGGGAGTAGTGCCCCATCACTGGTGTCAGTGGGAGGAGTAGTGTCCATCATTGGTGTCAGTGGGAGGAATAGTGCCACATCATTGGTGTCAGTGGGAGTAGTGCCCCCATCATTGGTGTCAGTGGGGGAATAGTGCCCATCATTGGTGTCAGTGGGGGGAGTAGTGCCCCATCATTGGTGTCAGTGGGAGGAATAGTGCCCCATCGTTGGTGTCAGTGGGAGGAATAGTGCCCATCGTTGGTGTCAGTGGGAGGAATAGTGCCCCATCGTTGGTGTCAGTGGGAGGAAGAGATCTAATAGTGCCCCATCATTGGTGTCAGTGGAGGAATATTGCCCCATCGTTGGTGTCAGTGGGAGGAATAGTGCCCCATCGTTGGTGTCAGTGGGAGGAATAGTGCCCCATCGTTGGTGTCAGTGGGAGGAATAGTGCCCCATCGTTGGTGTCAGTGGGAGGAATAGTGCCCCATCGTTGGTGTCAGTGGGAGGAATAGTGCCCCATCGTTGGTGTCAGTGGGAGGAATAGTGCCCCATCATTGGTGTCAGTGGGGAGGAATAGTGCCCCATCATTGGTGTCAGTGGGAGGAGTAGTGCCCCATCATTGGTGTCAGTGGGGGGAATAGTGCCCCATCATTGGTGTCAGTGGGGGGAGTAGTGCCCATCACTGGTGTCAGTGGGGGGAGTAGTGCCCCATCACTGGTGTCAGTGGGAGGAGTAGTGCTCCATCACTTGGTGTCAGTGGGAGGAATAGTGCCACATCAATTGGTGTCAGTGGGAGGAGTAGTGCCCCATCATTGGTGTCAGTGGGGAGGAGTAGTGCCCCATCATTGGTGTCAGTGGGAGGAGTAGTGCCCCATCATTGGTGTCAGTGGGAGGAGTAGTGCCCCATCATTGGTGTCAGTGGGGGGAGTAGTGCCCCATCATTGGTGTCAGTGGGGGGAGTAGTGCTCCATCACTGGTGTCAGTGGGGGGAGTAGTGCCCCATCACTGGTGTCAGTGGGAGGAGTTAGTGCTCCATCATGGTGTCAGTGGGAGGAATAGTGCCACATCATTGGTGTCAGTGGGAGGAATAGTGCCCCATCATTGGTGTCAGTGGGGGGAGTAGTGCCCCATCATTGGTGTCAGTGGGGGGAGTAGTGCCCCATCATTGGTGTCAGTGGGGGGAGTAGTGCCCCATCATTGGTGTCAGTGGGGGGAGTAGTGCCCCATCATTGGTGTCAGTGGGAGGAATAGTGCCCCATCACTGGTGTCAGTGGGGGAGGAGTAGTGCCCCATCACTGGTGTCAGTGGGAGGAATAGTGCCATCATTGGTGTCAGTGGGGAGGAATAGTGGCCCATCATTGGTGTCAGTGGGAGGAAACAGTGCCCCATCATTGATGTCAGTGTGGTGGAGGGGAGGAATAGTGCCCCATCATTGGGGTCAGGGGGGGGGGGGAAATAGTGTCCCATTGTTGGTGTCAGTGGGGGGGAGGAATAGTGCCCCATCATTGGTGTCAGTGGGAGGAATAGTGCCCCATCATTGATGTCAGTGTGGTGGAGGGGAGAATAGTGCCCCATCATTGGGGTCAGGGGGGGGGGGGGAAATAGTGCCCCATCGTTGGTGTCAGTGGGGGGAGGAATAGTGCCCCATCGTTGGTGTCAGTGGGGGGAGGAATAGTGCCCCATCGTTGGTGTCAGTGGGGGGAGGAATAGTGCCCCATCGTTGGTGTCAGTGGGGGGAGGAATAGTGCCCATCGTTGGTGTCAGTGGGGGGAGGAATAGTGCCACATCGTTGGTGTCAGTGTGGGGGAGGAATAGTGCCACATCGTTGGTGTCAGTGGGGGGAGGAATAGTGCCCCATCGTTGGTGTCAGTTGGGGGAGGAATAGTGCCCCATCGTTGGTGTCAGTGGGGGGAGGAATAGTGCCCCATCGTTGGTGTCAGTGTGGGGGAGGAATAGTGCCCCATCGTTGGTGTCAGTGGGGGGGGAGGAATAGTGCCCCATCGTTTGGTGTCAGTGGGGGGGAGGAATAGTGCCCCCGTTGGTGTCAGTGGGGGGAGGAATAGTGCCCCATCGTTGGTGTCAGTGGGGGGAGGAATAGTGCCCCATCGTTGGTATTAGTGAAACAAATGATGGGGCACTATTCCTCCCACTGGACACCAATGATACTTACCTTGCTGACCCCTGCTCCAGCCTGGGCTCGCTCTCTCACTTACCTGTCAGCTGTCTTCCTTCTCTGGCCCGCTCTCCTCTTCACTTGCTCCGGCAGCTCCCTCGGTCTTCTTTGATGTACGCGCGCTGCCGCTCGGCTCCTCCTCTCCAAGCTCCACCTCCTCGCCGGTGATTGGCTGCCTGTGTGCCTCTCCTGAGCTACAGTTCCGGTGGCCAATCAGCGGCGAGGACGGCGGAGCTGCTGAGCGACCCCGGAGGTGTGGCCAGGTGACAGCAGCGTATCATCCCGCCCACACATCGCCGGAGACTGCAGCGGTGTCTCGGTTCCTAAGACCATCGGAAATATGTGGTTTTCCGATGGTCTTAGGCGACCCCTGGGAAAATGGTCGTTCGACCCCCAAAGGGGTCGCGACCCCCGCCTCTCAGTTGAGAACCGCTGCTCCAGAGGGTTCTAGGTGTTCTGAGAGCACTTTTGTGCCTCTCAGATAAGTTCCCATTGACACCATTGATCTTTTTAGCTATCTGTAAGGGGGTAATTCTTATCAATGACCACAAGTGTAAAGGGCACTCTTCCTCAGCCAGGGTTCCATGGAATCCCAGGGTTCCTCTAGAGGTTTCTAGGTGTTTCTTGAGCAATGGGCAACTTCTGCCTCTTAGAGACATTCCCACTGACACCATTGATCCTTTTAGCTATCTGTAAGGTGGTAAATTCTTCCCAAAGGCCACAAGTGTAAGGGGCATCCTACCCCTAACCATCACACTGATGTATCATGAGTTGTGGATGTAGGAATTTTATGTGGGGTTCCCTTGGACTAGAAAGTTATTTTGAGGATTCCTCTGTGTTGAAAAAGTTGAGGAAGACTCTTGCGGGAGAATTTTAGGAGACTGTCTCTCTGAAGACTGCAGAAAAAAATAGACTTGTTCTAATAACATATCTGCAAGTCATTCTAGCAACTGGACTTGTAATTATATAAAGAGCCAAACATTAGCATATAAAAACATTAGTGAAACATATTTTTATTTTTCTTTATGAAATCTCATATTTCATTTTTGGCCAGCAGGTGGTTCTGCTGAAGGTCTGGGGAGATCAGACTACACTGCTAGAGGGACCCAACCAGTAGTGACCCCCCCCCCCCCCCATCTCTATCACCATGATGTCCTCCATGGAAGCTTTTACTGAAGGTCAGGGGAGATCAGACTACACAGCTAGAGGGACCCAACCAGCAGTGACCCCCCCCCCCTCCTTCTCTCTCCTAGCAGAGGAAGCCAGACACAACTTTGAAGTCTTTAGTGATCTCTGATCTCCTTATAAAGTGTTTCTTCCATGATAAAAATCAGAGGAGCACTCAGCCATGTGTTTTCTGAGGTGTATATCAAGGTGTGTGCTTCTTCCCAGTGTGAGATCTCTGATGTACGGCAACGTATCATCCATAGAGAAGACATTTCCCACACTCAGGACACTAATACACCTCCAGGGTGGAGTGGGTTCTCTGATGTACGGCAACATATTTCCCATATAGAAGACATTTCCCACACTCAGGACACTAATACACCTTGTGGGTTCTCTGATGTTTGAGAAGATAGGACTTCTGTGAGAAACTTTTCCCGCACTCAGAACAGGAATATGGCTTTTCCCCCGTGTGAGATTTTTTATGTTTGAAAAGGTTTGATTTCCGTGGATAACATTTCCCACACTCAGAGCAGGAAAACAGTTTTTCCCGTGTGTGGCAAACCTGATGTACAGTAAGGCTGTACTTTCGTGGAAAACACTTTCCGCACTCAGGACAGGAATATGGCTTTTCACCTGTGTGAGACATCTGATGTGTTTTCAAATGGGACTTCTGTGAAAAACATTTCCCGCACTCAGGGCAGGAATATGGCCTCTCCTCCGTATGAAATCTTTTATGTATAACAAGGTCTGATTTCCGTGAATAACATTTGCCACACTCAAGGCAGGAAAACAGCTTTTCTCCCGTGTGGCATAATTGATGTTCAGTAAGATGGGACTTCCGTGAAAAACATTTCCCGCACTTAAGACAGGCATATGGCTTCTCACCCGTGTGAGATCTTTGATGTATTAGAAGGTCTGACTTTCGTGCAAAACATTTCCCACACTCAGGGCAAGTATACGGCTTCTCACCTGTGTGAGATCTTTGATGTGTGGAAAGATGTGTCCTCTGTGAAAAAAGTTTCCCACACTCAGGGCAGGAATACAACTTCTCACCTGTGTGAGATCTCTGATGCCTGGAAAGATCGGATTTTCGTGTAAAAAATTTCCCGCACTCAGGACAAAAATACGGTTTCTCCCCCGTGTGATATCTCTGATGTACAACAAGTTCTGATTTATGAAGAAAATATTTCCCGCATTCAGAACAGGAATGAAGCTTCTCCCCCGTGTGTGATCTCTGATGTTTACCAAGGCTTAAGTTAGAGGTAAAACTTTCCCCACATTCAGGACAGGGAAATGTCTTCTCTTCCTGAATCCCGGCCCCATCCCCCACAGTACGAGGTTGCACAGAGTCAGAGGGATTCCATGGTCTCTCCACACTGGGAAGTCCACCATCCATAGTGGAGCTCATTGTCTTTTCTCCGGCACAATCTCCTGGGATGTCTTCATCTTCCATTTTACAACCTGGAGATAAAGTGAGACGATCCTTTGAGGGTTTCTCCATGGCGGGTCCTGGAAAAATAGAAAAACATCATCAATAGATAGGAGAGGGTTAGTTCACTTCCATCAAGATTCCATCTGGATCAGGGAGATAGGAGGGAGCAGATGTTCTCTATGGATGTCCCAACCAGCTGGGACTCTTCCCCTCTTCAGTCAAAGGGCCTTTGCTCTTCCTCCCAGATCACTTCTACATTTACACCGGCTTGTCAGAGGAGCAGGAACCAATGGGGGCTGGGGGGCGGTAACAGAACATAGATAAGAGAAAAATATATTCTGGTCACCTGTGCTGATCTCTGTAAGAGTGTCCTCCTCTATGAATGTCCTCCTCATTCCAGCCTCCTCCGTATATTGCTGATCATCCCTCACATATGTCTCTTCTTCATCTTCAACTTTTATGATGATCAGATCTTCACCCTAAACCAACATAATAGCAGAAAATAATATCTGTAACATAGAAGGATTTATGATGTGAGATCACATAGAACATCTCATCTTGTAGAGTCCACACATCGTCTCCACATGTCAGAGTGTTTCCATCATTTTATGTTCCCGACCCTCAACGCCACCGACCTGATGATAGTGAGGGATGGTGTGACATTCCTGAGTGGAATCCCGGGAATACAGGGGATGGAGACATCTCTCTGGTGGGTTCCTGGTATTAGGTGGCTCCATCATTTCCTTGTATCCTTCTGAAAGTTCCTCCATCACTCCATACTCCTCATCCTCCTCTTTATACTCTTCTCTCACATCAATATTATCATCCCCGAGGATTCCATTCTGAATATATAATAAAACATTCATTGTAACAAACATGCTGTGTAGAACTCATAACTATCAGTGATTGTTCCTCATCTACCTGATGATGGTGAGGGATGGTGTGACCTTCCTGTGTGGAATCCCGGGAATACAGAGGATGGGGACATCTCTCTGGTGGGTTCCCATGACTGGATCCATCTACTTGATGATGGTGAGGGATGGTGTGACCTTCCTGTGTGGAATCCCGGGAATACAGAGGATGGGGACATCTCTCTGGTGGGTTCCCATGACTGGATCCATCTACCTGATGATGGTGAGAGATGGTATGACCTTCCTGTGTGCAATCCCCGAATACAGAGGACGGGGACATCTCTCTGGTGGGTTCCCATGACTGGATCCATCTACTTGATGATGGTGAGGGATGGTGTGACCTTCCTGTGTGGAATCCCCAGAATACAGAGGATGGGGACATCTCTCTGGTGGGTTCCCATGACTGGATCCATCTACCTGATGATGGTGAGAGATGGTGTGACCTTCCTGTGTGGAATCCCGGAAATACAGAGGACGGCGACATCTCTCTGTTGGGTTCCCATGACTGGATCCATCTACCTGATGATGGTGAGGGATGGTGTGACCTTCCTGTGTGGAATCCCGGGAATACAGAGGATATCTCTCTGGTGGGTTTCCCATGACTGGATCCATCTACCTGATGATGGTGAGAGATGGTGTGACCTTCCTGTGTGGAATCCCCGGAATACAGAGGACGGGGACATCTCTCTGGTGGGTTCCCATGACTGGATCCATCTACCTGATGATGGTGAGGGATGGTGTGACCTTCCTGTGTGGAATCCCGGGAATACAGAGGACGGCAACATCTCTCTGGTGGGTTCCCATAACTGGATCCATCTGTAGGAAAACACACACACTGACTGAATCCATTGTTTCTATGTGTTTATCAGATGATGGGGGATCTAGGTGGACCCTCTGTACTGCTCTCTCCTTTCCAATAAAGTCTCCTCTTACCCGGTGATGTGAGGGGCAGCTGATTGTCCATCATGACGTCCTTGTAGAGGTCCTTGTGTCCTTCTAAATACTCCCACTCCTCCATGGAGAAATAGACAGTGACACCCTGACACCTTATAGGAACCTGACACACACAATGATACAGTCACCATCCAGACACATCCCTTACTGGAGAATGTCCCAGAATTCCCGGCACAGACCCCTATATTTTCTTCTTGGGGGACAGGATGTGGGGATAATGTAGGCTGGCTGGTTAGAAAACGATGGTGCCATCATTACTCCTGTCACAAATAACAGATCCCCGCCTGGCTTCCATATGTAAACAAGTTAGCGGGGATCCTGGGTGGAGTCATTCATAGTCATAATCATACTTGGCCAATGTCATCACCCAAGATCCTGGCTGGTTTGTTTCTGCACAGAAGGTGGACAGGGATCTGTCAGATCATTGAGTGTAACCACCGACAGATGTTTGTTTACAAGCAGCAGCCAGGTTATGGACAGTTTGTTATCCTGTTCTCTGAGCTGCGAACAGCCATAGTTTGGGTGGAACTCATATTCATTCAGAACTCGAAACTCACCCATATACAGAAGGGACTGAAAAGTGAGGTGATTGGTGGGAAAGGTGACAGGTCCACAAAATGAGGAGAATGTTCCGGCCCCGGAAGTGGGGGAATGTTCTGCCCCTGAAGTGGTTAATCTGGGTTACCACACTATATATGTGTGTATCATCATCTGCTGGAGATAAAAGACGTCACAGTGACTATGGAGGAAGAGGACGGACGTGACGATGGAGGAAGAGGACGGACGTGGAGGGACGGTGGAGGGAGAGGACGGACGTGACGGTGGAGGGAGAGGACGGACGTGACGGTGGAGGGAGAGGACGGACGTGACGGTGGAGGGAGAGGACGGACGTGACGGTGGAGGGAGAGGACGGGCGTGACGGTGGAGGGAGAGGACGGGCGTGAAGGTGGAGGGAGAGGACGGGCGTGACGGGGGAGGAAGAGGACGAGCGTGACGGGGGAGGAAGAGGACAGACGTGACGGCGGAGGAAGAGGACAGACATGACAGGAAGTTACTGGCTATAAATATCAAATAAGATCTTATTACCTCCTCTGCTGCCATTTCAACTAATGTCTCCTCTCTACTTCCTCCCAACTCACCTGGAACTTCCCATACCTGACATCACTTCCTGTCTTCCATAGAGACACCCTGTCTGTCCCTTACATCACTTCCTGTCTTCCATAGAGACTTCCCGTCTGGGAAGAAATGAGATCCCCACAAGCTTAATAATGGCATGCAATGCCAAGCTGCAGGTTCTAAAGCGAGCAAAATCCTCTCGTATTAGGAGAGGTATAGACTCCAGAGAGAGAGACCTCATCTGGAATATGCAGTTCAGTTTTGGGCACCAATTCACAAACAGAACATTGGGGAACTGGAGAAAGTACAGAGAAGGGCAACCAAACTGATAGGAGGCATGGAGGAGATCAGCTATGAGGAAGGATTAGAGGAACTGAATGTATTCAGTTGGGAGTGTGAAGTGACAGTTGAACACAGCCCCTTAATCATGTCTTCTCTGCTTATTCACAGGTAAATGCTGCTCTCATCTCCACCTTCAACTGTCATTTCTGCAACGCATAGACTTTTTGCAAAACTCAGAACAATTAGTGTACATTTTTTGGTCTGTTTGTGGTGATTGATTCTCACCTCCTCTTGCACTTCTTTTATGACTTTGGCCTGTGTCTGGTCTGTCTTTGAAAAACATCCCCCCCCCCCCCCAGTTCATGTGATCCTTATCAGTTCCTAATTGGGGCGGAAAAGAGTTGCTCATTTGACCTCCCTCCCTATAAATCTAGACCAGCTCATGGGGGGAGGGCAGTTTTCTGCGTGAGAGTGTTTGATGCTGGAGTGTGAAGCTGCAGTTGAACCCAGCAGTGTGTTTGATGCTGAAGTGTGAAGATGCAGTTGAACCCTGCAGTGTGTTTGATGCTGGAAGTGTGAAGATGCAGTTGAACCCAGCAGTGTGTTTGATGCTGGAGTGTGAAGATGCAGTTGAACCCTGCAGTGTGTTTGATGCTGGAGTGTGAAGATGCAGTTGAACCCAGCAGTGTGTTTGATGCTGGAGTGTGTGAAGCAGCAGTTGAACCCTGCAGTGTGTTTGATGCTGGAGTGTGAAGCTGCAGTTGAACCCTGCAGTGTGTTTGATGTTGGAATGTGAAGCTGCAGTTGAACCCAGCAGTGTGTTTGATGCTGGAGTGTGAAGCTGCAGTTGAACTCAGCAGTGTGTTTGATGCCGGAGTGTGAAGCTGCAGTTGAACACAGCAGTGCGTTTGATGCTGGAGTGTGAAGATGCAGTTGAACCCAGCTGTCAGG